TTTGGCGGAAACTCAAATTAAAAAAAAAAATGGCGTTTATCGCGTTTTGGAACCAAACTCTTCATATGCATATATGTGTGTGTGTTTTGAAAAGTTTTTAGACTAATTTAAAGTATTTGAATATATTATGTTTTATATATACATTTTTAATATTAACATTATAATTATTTATGAATATATTATAATTGTGTGTAAATTATAAAATTATTATATAACATACTGTATATTAATATATAGATTTCAGCTTATTTAGAGTTCAGTCTCTTATTTTACAGTAAAAAAAAATCACTTGAACTAATATAAGCTATATATATAAGCTGCAAGATCCCACAATGACAAAGTCCTCTTTATGTCAAAAATGAAATAAATACAAACACAAACACATGCCTGCAATGATGGGCAATGTTCCCTCCCTTTCTTTAACAAAACAAAAGGGAAAAAAATCAATAAACCTTTCAGACACTGCATCCATTTGGCAAGGCTGGTCCAGCCCAACTTTCTCAAATGAAAGAGAGAGAAAAAAAGGAAAGCAATAAGATATGGCATCAGGTTCCTTGTGATTGTTTTCTATCTGTCGTATCATCAGCTCAGAGAAAAAAATAGCACATTGCTCCAGATGAGAGCACTGTTACTGTAAAACCATAGATAATGGCATATAGTAAATATATTGAATTTGGTTACTGCGTTAACATTGCCAATAGCTGAAGCTAAATTCAACAGAATCTGCCCCAAAATGTTGATTTGAATGTTGACGTGGTTCTCCTACCGTGATGGTTGTCCTCTGACTGGTTGAATCCGCAGAGCTGGCAGATTGAGCGCACCCAGCGGTTCATCTCCACCTCCGTTTCTGCCACCAGGTAGAAGGTTCTCTCGGCCGTCTTGATGTCGAACACAAAGCTGTCCTGGAACTCTTTGCGTTTGAAGGTGAGGCCGGCGTCCACCTGCTCGCAGCAGTGCAGGTCGATGATGCGAATGGGCTTTTTGGCATGGTCACTCTTGTAGTACTCAAGAATATCCGGGTCTCCACTCATGCGCCCGCTACGCAGGATAAACCAGCGCTTCTTCCAAGCCTACAGACATAACAATGACAACGATGGAAGGATTTATTAAGGTTTGTGTTATTATTATATATATTAATAACCAACAAGATAGACAGACAGACAGACAGACAGATTAGATAGATAGATAGACAGACAGACAGGTAGATAATAATAAATACAGGAGAAACAAATACCGTATTGGCCTGAATATAAGATGACCCTGATTATAAGACGACCCCCCTTACAACAGGCATTTATGTATTTCATGGCACACTCGTTTTATGCGTATTTGGCTCCACATATTGTTGTGGGTGTATTATTGACATGTCAAAGTCTAGACCCTGAATATAAGACGACCGCGTTTTTTCAGATGTATTTCCAAGAAAAAAACATCGTCTTATATTCGGGTCAATACGGTAAATAAAGTAAAAATTACTAATATTGTGAAATATTATTACAATTTAAAATACATGTTTTCTATTTTAATATATTTTACCATGTCATTTATTCCTGTGATGGCAAAGTCAAAGTTTCAGTGTCACGTGATCCTTCAGAAATCTACATGTCTATCTATATCTATACAAATCTATATATATCCTTCAGTATTCTAATATGCTGATTTGCTTTTTCAGGATTCTTTGATGAATAGAAAATTCGAAAGAACAAAAAAAATAAATATTTTGCATCATTATAAATGTCTTTCCTGTCACATTTGATCGAAATAATGCATCCTATTAATTTCTTTATTAAAAAAAAAAACTTTTGGTAGTCTAAGTCCTATATATATATCCTATATCCTATATATATATAATCAGTTCCATCATTATTTAGTGCACAGTTTTACATTGTATATAATACATGTACAATGACAGTTCAATAATTTTATAACAAAAATTTTAAAAGTTTTGTTTTATGTTTCACTAATAAATAACAACATCTGGGGTTACGCATGTAACCATGGTTCCCCAAGAGGGAACGAGACGCTGCGCCCCCTAGGGGGCACATTGGGGAATGCCGCCAGCATGACCGGTGTCTGAAGCATGTGTGAAACAATGCCAATCCTATTGGTCCACATGGCCCATGACGTCATAGACGGGGGTGCCCGGAAGTATAAAAGGGTACCTGCTGAATACGTCACCAACTGAAGGAGATGTAAACAGGCAGGTCGAAGGCATGGAGAGTGGGCGCAGCGTCTCATTCCCTCTTAGGGAACCATGGTTACATGCATAACCCGAGACGTTCCCCTCTAGGGAACTCCACACTGCGCCCCCTAGGGGGCACATTGGGGAACGAAATCCAACCATGCTATGCGAGGCGCGTGCCTGTCCACCTGGTGGGAGAGCACCAAGAATGCAACAGACATACGCCAATCCTTTCCTCAGAAAGGGACCAGGCCACTGACACTGCGGGCTGCTCAAATAACCTGGCAGAAATGAGGAGACCCGATTAGATCAAGGGGAACACCCCACCCAAGCTAAGAGCACAGCTATCCTCAGATAGCTATGCTATGTGAGCAATACTAGCCTGGATACACAAGACCACTGAAGAGGCTAAACTAGAAAGCCTCTAGAGGAGCTCAAGAGATCGCCACTTACATCTCAGGTGATAAGAGTAGCTGCTGAGCTAGAACACAGCTATCCTCATATAGCTATGTCCTAAAGGTATTATAAAGGCTTGTAGACCAGAATAACAATCTAGATAGCCTTCCTGCAGAGCTGCCCAGACCACAGAGAGTGGGCTATCTACTTACAACCCTAGCAGGGGAGATAGCACTCTCTAGGCAAGGGCTCAAGGAGACCGCTACTTAAAGACCCTAAAAAGGGGAGCAGTCACTGAGCTAGCACATAGATATCCTCAGATAGCTAGGCTATAGGAAAGGGGGCCACTCCAGGAGAGGGCTTACCGCAACTGCAGTAGAACACAGCTAGCCTCAGATAGCTGTATTCAAGTAAGCCCGTCCTGGCATAACAATGGCTGGAATATAACCACCCTCAGATGGCTATACTAAGGAGGTCCCCAATCCATGTCATCAGTAAATGAGCGAACACATAAACATCATTAGTCCGAGATCAAAGCCTGATGTAAGCTGTGGCCATAACACTAGAGGGCTGGACACAGCTATCCTCGAATAGCAGTTCACTCAGATAAGGCTGAAGATAGCCCAGACCACGGAAGTGGGCCATCTAGTTAAAACCCCGAAGGGGAGACAGCACAGTCTATTCAAGGGGCTCACGGAGACCACTATTTAAAAACCCTAAAATGGGGAGCAGTCTCCGAGCTGGAACACAGCTATCCTCGAATAGCAGATTCCTAGACAAAGACTTCAGCGCATAATCGAGAGAACTTGTGCCAAGGGGAACCCAACCTAGTTAAGAAGCCAGGCTAGAAGATAGCTGCCCTCAGACCGCCATATTCCAGAGCAGAGTAAGCTTGAGCTGGGGCATGACCATCCGCAGACAGCTACACTCTGAGCAGGGACTGTTCCCTTAAGCCCTGAAGAGGGGGAGCAGTGTACTCAACCCAACCCACTAAGCGGGATTCAGAGGGACCGCCCACTTAAAACTACACAGAAGCCTGGGGAGGCAGCCCACTCCTAAACCCATCCGGCTTAACTCAGGAAGAGAAATTCTGCATAACCACTCTAAGGTTATGCTGAAACACCCTGGGAGAGAAAGCTCGCAAGCCTCTCTCCACAGAGTATTTAAATATATTCACGCCCAGCAAGGCTCTCCACACACAATAACATGCATATTAGAGAGGCACGGCCGAGTTGAATATAGCTCCGCCCATGATCTTGCGGGATCAGGGCTGAAACGACTCCGTGCTCACACTTCATCATCATAACAACAACCCAACGATATCTGTGGCATCTGACAACCCGTATAGAGAAGGTGTGCGGATGCCGCAGATCAAAGCGATGACTGTGAGGTGAGATAAACTGTGCCGCGGCAACAGCGGAACTGGGCCGCGAGACACAAACGCTTTGTTCTGCATCCCTCAGGAATAGGAACAAACGCGAGCGGAGCCTAGACATTGTGACTCATCACAATGAGCGCGCAACTCTGAACGCGCGTGCTTTACGCCGAGACAAACGCGAAAGCAGAATATGCCCTCGAGTGTTAGAATCCAAACACGGAGGCACACAATCCCTAAGGTGCTGCTCTACTCGAGCCCTATCCAATAACCCAAAAAGAGCGTCTTAAACCCGCGTATCCCTCGATTCAAGTCTTCGCCGTGCCTCGTCAACAGCGGGACCCGAACAGCGAGACGCAAACGCTTGTCACTCACCTCTCAAGAAGAGGGACAAACACGAATAGAGCTTCTCATTGGATAACACTCACAATGAGCGCGTTCAACACCCTCGAGCACTGAACACGCAACCTGACCAAGATACATGACGCATAGATCGTGTGTGTCCTCAAGTGACAGAAACCTCGGGCACGGAGGAACACACTTTCCACAGCGCTCACCTGCCTTGGTCTCTCACACGCACTCCAGACAGACGGTTCCTGAAGACAACAAAAGTTGGTGACGTATTCAGCAGGTGCCCTTTTATACTTCCGCATGGCCTATGACGTCATGGGCCATGTGGACCAATAGGATTGGAGTTGCTTCACACGTGGTTCAGACACCAGTCATGCTGGCGGCATTCCCCAATATGCCCGCTAGGGGGCGCAGCATGGAGTTCCCTAGAAGGGGAACATGAGGTATTATTAAAAAATGTTTTAATAGTAAATGCTTATAGACATCTGTTTTTCTTATTTGGTTTTATTATGTTCCTTTTTCATTATATGCTGACTGGTATTAAGAGGAGAGAAATAATTTCTCCTGTCCTAGCATCTCTTCATTGGTTACCGGTGCAGCATAGGATCCATTTTAAGATTTTATTATTTGTGTATAAAGCATTAAATGATCTAGCCCCATCATACTTGTCCGAACTTCTCAGCTATCAGCAATCCTCTCGCTCTCTCAGATCCTCAGATAAACTTTTCTTGCATATACCTCGCTCTCGCTTGAAATTTAAGGGGGATCGGGCTTTTTCTGTAGCCGGTCCTCGACTATGGAACAGCATACCTCTGGACATTAGATCTGCGCCTTCCCTTCCTGTTTTTAAATCCCGCCTGAAGACTTATCTGTATTCCTTGGCTTTCGGATGAAATGTATGTTTGTGTATGTTAATGTGTTTTTGTATTGATTATGTGTTTTTGAGTCATTTCTTTTTATTCTCTTAATCTCTATATTTACTTTATTTGTATATGTACAGCACTTTGGCATACACTAGCTGTTTTTAAATGTGCTATATAAATAAACTGACCTTGACCTGTAGTCAAGTTCTTGTCTTCTTTTACTGTTAATTTCAATAATACAGAAATATTGAACAACAAAATATGAAGCCTCTCGACATGAAATGCTCATTCAAAAGAACAAATAAGTCTTCAGTTTGTGCTTGGTTAACACTGATCAAAACCAAGATTGGGCTCCAAGTGTGTTTCTGTGGGTGTGTGTTCCATTTTGTGTATAAGTGTGTGTATAAGTGTGTGTGTGAGCGCCTTATTTGAGACAGGTGCTACTCCCACACACTGTTTCCTGCTTAGATAGAGCTTTAAGGGGGAAACAAACACAGACGCACACACACACACACACACACACACACACAGATAGAGAGAGAGATACAATGCATGTACTCCATTATGGCAACTGCAACAATGGCACACACACACCTGCTAGTCTACTGTTTGATGATCCATTAAATTTTACGAGACACACAGGCACAGTACACTACCTCAACAAATACAAATACAAGGATTCCCACTTGTGTACAAACACACAGGTGCTTCAGGCGTAGTAGTTGGGAATTTCCCTGATTTGAATGTAAATGGACTCTTCTGCTTTAACCACACGCAACAGAAAAACATTGTAATTTTAATTGAAAAAAAAAAAAAATCACTTCATAATAAATATATTCTTAGTTTGTAAGAATACAGTAGCAGTAGCAAGTCATTTTAAATAAATAAATAAATAGTACACCT